TTGGCGACCTGCGTGCAGGTTCAGACTGGTAGTGCCTCTCTCAGAGTTGGGCCAGGCTTTATTATATGACGCAGGTGGACAGACAAGCATTTTCTGCGATGAATGCTTGCGATACGGCGAGGACGCCGTTACTCATGTTTTGGTTCGAGGCCTTCTGGGCCGTGAAAGACAACGCTTCTGAAGCCGCGAACGTGGGCCCTAATCAGATGCCTTGCAAATTAAAAAATAACATCTAGTTACCAAAGGAAAAAAAACTGGCCAGATTGGTGACAATCCAAGCCAAACGGCTGAACCTACCGTCTTTATTATCCCTTCTCGAATAAATATTCTAACTTAGTGAATATTATTTACATTGACGATGGCGTGTAGTGATTAGGCCTATGGGTGATTTGTTCATTAACTTTTTGCGGACATTTTTGTGTGCTTATCTTCAGCAAGCAGGATTCCGCGTGACACAAACTAGAATTAATTTGTCTTTTAATCTTCAATAAATTGTATGACCCAATGTTGAAATTAATTAACGATAATTATCAGATGTGGAGACTTTTTTCAGATATAGTCAGAGTTGGATTTCAGCTGCTAGGAACTTGTATTTTGCACTTAAAATTATCCAAAAAGGATTAATGCTTTACCAAAAGAGATGGAAAAGCAAAACAGCAGATCTCGCGTTTCATTGACTCGAATGAAGGGAGCTATAGTATTGACATCAGCAAGGTACACAGAGGCACCATTGGCGAAACAATAATATGACGACGACAATGCCAAATTACCCAACTTCAGACGGTACCTATATGCCACAATGGAAGCAACGGCCAAGTAACCGGAACAGCCACACGGTCAACAACTTCTGAGACAACGCAGAATCAAAATAATCCACACCAAGAGACGACGTCACTGCCCTTGCAAGGATTTTCACTGTCACAATAATATATCAAAACAACAATTTTTGCAAGCATACAGAATGTGAATAATCAGATATGTCATTCCGAAAGCAGAATTGTCAGATAACATGAGTGAAAGTGAGAAAGGAACACATGAGTTTGCCCTTGACATTTTAGCTGTGAGTCCGTTTTAATCTCTTCTAGGGGAAATAGCTGAATAAATCCAGGGCCGAATTGAGGTTGAGAAGAAGAGGATCACCTTGCTCGAACTAAGTCATCAGTCCTCCAAGCCTCGGCACTTCCAGGACTGATTCCATGATAAGAATGAACTGAAATCCTAAAGTCTAGGTCGCCTGATGGGTGAAGGTAAGTCACATAGCTTCTGGCCTGGAAAGGTGATTCTCGGGCGGATGAACAGCCAATCGCAATCGCACTCAGTGATCTGATTTGGCGTCTGGTCAAGAAGCAAGGATCGACCAGTTTACTTGAAGGCAGTGACACATCGAGCATGAGACCAAGAACATGTTTGCTTTCCTCTGACGAGACATTCAACCTTGAGTGAACCACGAGATAAGAATTGAAAAACACAAATTACTGTCTCTCTTCACTTAAAATTTTACCTTTTTTCAAATTAAAAAAGATCAAGCACACACGATCAGGCAAATATCTGAGATTGACAGATTTGATAATGTCATTGATAACGAGAAATCCCTGCGACAACCAAAAGAACAAACAAATTTGACAAAAGAACAAACAAATGTGTTTCTCTCAATTGCTTAGATACCGATTATCGTTTGTTTGTTTTGTTTTTGTTTTCGTTTTGTTTTTAGAATTTCTTCCATTTATTAAAGTTTATAAAGTTTCTTGTGATAAGGTATTCGAATGAATACATTTAACTTTTCTCTGCGTGGGCCAAAACTCGTCTCACGTTCAATCAATCAAGTGACGTACATCTCTTCCCAAGTTAACCACCACCAAAAGTGTCTGTGAATCTCGACATCCTCAAATAACAAGCTACCAATGTGAGCCTCTGCACACACAACGCACATCCCCACCAAAGCGTAATCAAAAAGTGGTCTGGTCTACGTGCGGTGATCGATCGCACGATCCGCACGCGCGAATGCAATTATGTCTTTTCATCCAAGGGTGTTAAAGCATTGCTTGTTTGTACGAGTCCTCACCAAGATGCCGCAGTACAAACTGGTGGTGTTTACAGCCGACAACACGCCAATTGACCAAGTCTGCCTCGCCAAGTGGGGGGAAAAAAGCTCATTGGGACTTCAATTTTCCCCATGTTCTCCAGTTAAGACCAGAATAAGAATCAGGTCAACACGGCCTATACTGCATTGTTGTCATTACCGGTGCGTGTTAGTTATTACCAATCTCCCACTAACGAGAAATATTCACTGGCCTTTTGCTACCCCCTTCGGGCGGGATATTGTAAATGGAGTATATTCCCTTTGGGTTAAGACGTGTAAGACGGCCACAAATCTCTTGTGAGTGTAGGTAAAAATACTTAAGAGGCGAAGCAAGCAACCACCAATCAACCGAGAGATTGCTGAACATGCATAGGATCTAGATCTACTTTAAACTCAAGACAAGAAAGAGTTTTTTTCCTTGAGGAAACTAGAAGCCTAGGGATGGTCCTTTCCCCGTTACACACATAATGACTGCGATTCGAATCGAACCTGGGCTGGCGTAAGGACTGATATAGTAGCAGACACTGTAAAGCTCTCTGACAGATTACTTGTCTGCTATTATGCAGAGATCTCACTCTGAATGCAGTCTGACCGAGTCAACTCGGTCTATTTCCCGATCGTCATCCAACTCATAACATCAACAAGCTATACCCCAAGGGATTAACCGCATTCGCCCCGCCTCTACGGTCGGGATTTCCTGGTCCATTTTGTTGAAATTGGCTAGGCTAACGAAACATAGACTAGGATCACGGCAGTTGATGGAAAAACAGAACATTTACTGGTGATCTCTTAAGTAGACAAAACTTTAATTCCTTTCTGAAAACAAACCCTGAATTTTTATCAAAGCCTCTATCGTGGTTGGGAAATAAACTCCTTTCAAGTTATAATTTGTCCAGTTTATCCCTGTCTCATCAATATTGTGGTCTAAACGTTTACGATGTAATGCTTCCACATTTCATGTAGTCACGGTCTCAGCTCTAAACACGAGTATAATGGTTCGATAAAACCATACATTTCACGTTCTTCTCATCCCTTTCTGCTTTCGCAATACCAATACTATCAAGCAAGATATATAAACCTAGAAGGGAGGCAAGGTTTAGTTCCAAACCGAATAAAACTTAAAGGGTCATTGCGATGTAATTTCTGTAATGCCATCCTATAAAATTTACCTTTATGTCCCATTTGGCCTTATTATCAATTTTCATTTTGCCATTTCCAAGGGTATTTTGGTGCATTTTCGTTGTTTATGCTAATGCCTATTTCCATATTCATGAAAATGAATATGGAAACTGAGATGCCGTTCCAGGCAGAAACCTCATCGTTGCAGCTATTTCAGCACAAAAAGTTGCTAGAATTTTGGCGATTTTGCTGTCGTAAATGTTCATTTCTTTGGTGATTCGCTGTTGTGTCAGTACATTGCAGTAAGCCAATTAGCCTTTCTCACAAAAAGTTTTCAATGGGCAAATTTTGGGTTCACAATTTGAATAGAAACCCCTAAACTGGACAGTGTCTTCCTGAAACGAATCCCAGCAATAGCGCCCTCAGTTGTCCGGAGTGCACTTTTCAATCAAATTAACCAAAAAGAAATGTCAATTAGTTTTCATACATTTAAGAGGAGTTGAAAGTTGCACAAAATGTGTTCCTAAAACAATTCATAGCTTGGGCCCTTTAATAAAACTCATTAAACAAGTGGGCTAATAGTTCGCTGCACCGCACTGGGAGTTTTGCCAAGTCGTCGTCTTACTTTCTGTAGCACAGTCGATGTACAAGGATGAAAGCGACCCAAAACGACCTTGCCTTACGAAAACAACCACCGGACTTTGGAGGATGTACAGACGAGGTTTAATTGCTTAATTGGTCGCTAAAATTACAAAGCTTAATTGCCAGGGGAACAAATGCCAAGCTATGCAAACAATTAGGTTAATTAATCCCTGGGGTGCACTGTTGAAATATTTAGAAATGTATCTCGTATAACGAATTATCAACTGATAACATAAGCTGTGTTTGGTTCGAAGATTTGTTTTATTAAGGAGCTTCACAAAACGAAGAAGAGGGAAACGTTCACCATTAGGCTGCCTCCAGACATATTTTAATTCCATAGAGTAAAAGTGAATAGGACAAATGTTAAAAAAAAAATTATAAAACAAAATTGAGACTCAAATTGTCTCAATGTTACTGGAGTGAATGATTGTTATGAACACGTTATTGAGATTCATTTCGTTCTTTATATTCTGCAGTGTCTGGCTTGCGGACAATGCGTTGAACGGAGAGAATAAAAAAAAAAAAGAGGAACTAGGAATTGTAAGGAAATTCTATAAGAACATTGGGGTTGGCCGTTGGGTCTAATAGCCGGATCTGAGATCTCTTGGGATCATGTAAGAGGTTTAGTACAATGAGTCTCAAAATAGACCACCTGCTTGTACCGGGAGGCATATTTAAAATGCATAAATGTCTTTCCAAGCTATTACGTTAGCAGCATTTGATTTCAAGTAAACTTCAAGCAAAGGGCATACCGATTCAATATGGTAACCCGTACCCAAAGTTCATTCGCGAGGTAGCGTTTTAGCTATCAGAAGTGCTTCTAAAAGACTTCTCTCTAATTAAAGTACCAAATTTCCGGTGTGATAGATCATTTTTTGGCGGGCTCTGCATGTGCGATCGGAACCTGTTGAAAGCAAGCGAAGCGGCTTTGGGTCTCCTTCACTAAAAATGCTAAAAGCGTACACAGTGACGCCAAACGTTCCGGAGGCACACTTTGCTCACACATCAAACGCGTGCACCGCCCAAACGTCAAGTCCGCTGACTTTATTATAGAGGAACTGATGCAAAGCTTTGTATTAAGGCTACAGATTGTTCATCAAAAACAACTAGGCTAAAAGGCTTTTAGTAAAGCTTTAAAAAAAAAAAACAGGTTTCTTACCTTTAACTGAAAATTTCCCCTGTGACGTCTCTGATCTTTTTTTCAACGGTGACTCGATTTCCTTCACTGTCACAATCTGAAATTGGATTTAAAATTTTGTCAATGGGTGTAACGTGGATGTTGACCTATTATAAGATAGCCCACGAAAGGCATGATAAGCTTGACTAAGGCATGCAGGCACCCAATATCTATTTGAACAAACGCTTTTGGGTTATTTATCAAGAGTTTGATGTGGGCATGCGCAACAAAGGTCTCTTATGGTTGCACAGAGGTAAAAACAGAACGCGAAGCTTAAAATTGGACGTGGCAGCTTAATGCGGGAACATGTGGGGGAGTGTGAGAACATCTGACGTGCAGAATAACATTTATTCACAAATGCAGCGTTGTGAAAATATCTCAAAGCTAGGAAAACATTCCGTTAAAACAGCTTTGCGCACTGAATATTATGGAAGACGTACGGTACATTCTGGAAAGAAAGATGTGAAGATGTGAAATGCTCGAGCCTGTCAATGTGTTTTCACGTCAGAGTCTGACTGACTACAGGGTATATTTGCATGCAACCTTGACTTGCTGGGAAGGCGAAGCATCCTCAATAATTGACACTTGATGAAGCTAACACGACACATCTAACACAATTTTACAATTACAAAATGTTGGGAGACGGGAACGTTGGTCGCGTGATGAATTAGCACTAAAAGGCCCGTGTCAGTCCGAATTAATAACACCGTGCCGCGTTTAGGAGGAGCGCGCCACAGCTGGGACCACGCGGCCCGATCTCGTTAGTCCGCCGAGAGTCCGCCAAGCGGGCTTGCTTAATTTCATCGCCAAATCGACGGACTGCGAGACGACTCATTAGCGACTACGAAACCACCTGATTCCTGCCAAGATTGTTGGACAAACATCTGAGCGTGCCCCTGAAGACCTTTTCTATGATTTCTTTTTGGGAGAAGCGCCTTTGGCGCCAAAATCAGCTAAAGATTCGCAGAATCAAATCAAAGGGTCTTAAATAACATTACTTCAGATTTTTGAGCATCTCATTTCATCAGTCTCAACGAAAATCTGATTGTAGTTTCTGGCGTTACAACAAAATAATGATGAAATGTGCCTCCAGTGGGAAAAAATGAACCAATGGCTGAATGAGAGTATCTAGTGTCAACAGAATATATCAGATTCTTGGTAAGTTCATTATGTCTAGTCGCAAAACGTATTTTGTCTTTTCAAGAACTCAACTACACTCGATAAATTCCGATCATAATTATTTTCGGTTGGGTGTGGGACAAATTGTTACTTTGCACAGTGATGTTGAGAGTACATACTGACTAAACTCCAATTGCACTCTGTTTACGAAACAAAACAAAGCAAAAGGAAAACGAGAAAAATAGGGGAAACATCTCTGATACTTTAAAAATAGAAACTATGAACGGCACACTAAAAGATCCAGAGAGAAAGCAAAATATACAATAACTTTGAGAGTTGAAATCCTTTCACTTATGTTTATATAAATGTATATGTAGTCACTTAATGAGTCAATCATAAACCACTTTAGCTTGATCACATTCAACTCGATGGTCCAATCCAATCATATTGTGGTACTAACCACCAATATACGCCATATTTGATGACGCGACATACCATACAAAACGTGCTTACGCCAACGCGACATCGATTTGTGAGGAATTGCAAATGTTATTTATTCCAAAGACTCGCTGTTATTACTGCAAACGAGCCAGTATCACGGCTTTAGGGCATGATTTGTGCTGATCGTTTGACTCAATCGCCAAATAATCAGTCCAAATAGGAAACCGTTTGTCTATATACAGAGTGAAAATACTGCTGGATGTTCAGATGATGCAGTCAATAGTGGACAATTGCTGTCAGTTCATTTGCTTAGTTCAATATTGGCGGGCTTCAGCAAAACCGACGCCATTCTTTATCATCGTCAGGAACAGGCCTAGTTGAGAAATAGAGGCAGCGAATGACTTTGATATGCTGTAAATCTTTTACCAACAATGTAAAACTTCAAAATGCTTGCCCTGCCAAACAAAATTATCGTCGATTAGTTAGGCAGTTATTTGTATATTTAGTAAAGTCAGGTTTAACTGTTCAATAAAGTTTCGGTATCAAAGACAAGCTAACGGTAAGATGACCACGATTTAGCACGCATAGTTGTAATTGTTGTCGTCTTGAATTGAAATGTATATCCACATTGCTTTTATAGGCCTATAATTATTACATCTCTTTTTGCTTTTGGAATGCTTCAACAGTCAGAAGATCAAGAATGGGTCAGCAATTCATCTATCGGTCTTGAATTGGAGAAATTGTGGAAAGATTAACCATTTTTCAGGAATCCATGCTTGAAAGTTATTTTCTATGATGTATTGATAAAAGCACAACTGACATTAGCAAGATAAACATTTAACCCGCGGCCCGATTCAGTCTTTGCCGTATCCAAATTCAATGCGTGCCATTCAGGCACCCATCCATGAAGTGGTTTGATATCCCATGCAGCAGCGGGAGGATTATCCCGGCAGCAGGGGAATTCTAAACGGTTCAATAACGCCTCTCCCGCCCCATCCATCACCCGAGTGATTGGAGTCTAACGCCACGTTAATTCGACACCGGGGACAAAACGCCCGAGTGCGAACATTATACGTTAAAAGCTACCAGAAGGACTGGCACATACTTGCGTGTCTGTCTTTAGGTGGAGGGGGTCTTACGCGGGAACGAAGGCACCTGTGACGTGCTTCAAATCGCAACTGGACAATTTCGAAAGCTGAAATAAAATCCACTTGGGCGCGAGTCCACGGTACGGAAGAATGTATTTACCCGACTCTTGAGGTGTCTTACCCTCGACGTGTCAATCCCAATTTGAAAATCACGTTGATGGGGCCAGCTATTATTTCAGCAAGCGCCAACGAGTTGAGAACATTCATTTGGTAAGTGGATGTTTGGATCTCGTGTGTAAGATTTCACAAGTGCTAAATAGAGTCGTTTTGGCAAGGTTTGCTCTTAATGTTTGGAATGCACTTCTCAGGATGTGTCTTACAACACGACACTTGTCAAGTTCTTAGCAACGGCGTCAGTAAGTGCGAAAACTCCCAGTTGACATAGGTTGCTACAGCTGATACAAGGAGTGACTTACACTTTATCATTTCCCTCCTTCTATTGACTCTTCTAAATGAATACGTCTATAGTTTCTGTCAGGATATATATTACAATTTTCGGAAAGACTGCTGTCTGAAAAATAAAAAGTTGCTTTGCTTTCGTGTGAAATTGGATGGCGTTAAAGTGGTTTTGCTGCAACAAAACATTCCTGAAATGTATATTTTTCCGCGTCGCAGGGGGCAAGTCTTGTATCCTAGCTCTTTGTAGCTATCTCAGTCACTATAACCAGTGGACCAGCTTCACTGGCCTAGCCCTTTTCCTCAACACAACTGCTGACTGATATTAAATTCGGATTGAATCAGGCGTGCCCTGGAAATTGCAACATGAGGTGAACGTGTACTAACATCCCCCCCCCCAAAAAAAAATGTATTCCCTTTGAAAATATCAAATACCCATTATGGCAATAAAGTGAAGTCGTAGCTAAGAAGACTGGCTCCTGTGACGTAATTAAGCCCGTGACGTATGCCGATTCACCACGAGAAATGTCTGAGCATGCCATTAAGGGTACTAGACATCGATGACCGCTTACATTGTATCCAAAGCAGCCAAATGCGCTCAATTATTGCTTCATAACGAGACGTGTATTGCTACGATGTTTGTGACAAGTTGCCATTATTTTTCATTAACTTCCTTCCGTCTTATGGCAGCTGTATCAACGGCGAGGTGGTAGGAGGGTGTGAAGACTCCTACAAAAATATCGGATGAGGATGATGAGGAGACAAGGTTTCCATGGCAACAGTGATGCTTGCCAGACAACTGCGACGCCCTGTAGTAGTTTTCATTATAATGGACCCAGATATTAAGTCTATACTGTCAATTATGAAAAGCTTATACCTCTATTATCACAACAGGATTCAAGCGGAAAACATTTAATATCTCTATTGGCTGTTATCAACTGTTCAGCTATAGTTGTCGTCATAATGCATGACGGCCTATTTTAATAACGCCACGAAACGGACAGCCAAAATGATGCACAGTCATCTTGACATTCAAAGAAAATGCCCTCAGGTTTAGAGTGGTACTAGATGACAATTTATAAAACATTTTTATCTCAATGCAATGTGCTACTTTTGACAGATTTATACACCATACACCTATTATGAAACCTGGGTAGTCTAAAACGTGTAGGTGCATATGTATTTGTTAGGCCTATTTACAGTTTTGGTGCTTAATCGTTAGTTTTATAGTTACCATTTGAAGTGTTCGTATAATAAACCATTATCATGTTGCGGCCATTTTCCCCCATTCAAATCAACGTAACCAAAGCGAGGCTGGAAGGGAAAATAGTCTGGTTCCTTTTTGCACAAAAAAATATCATTCAGTACTGTTATTGGATACAGGGAACATGACTGAAATGGTGGCAGTATGAATAGGTGGAATCAGATTGGCGTAAAAGGTACTTTCCTCGCCTTCCTTTCACTGCTGTGACCCGGGTTCGAATCCCACCTGGGCCAATATGTGGATTGGGCTTTCAATACCTGATTTCATGGGTTTTCCCCAGAATATTCTTCTGGGCTTTTCCTCCCACCTTTAAAACTGTACGTTCTTCTCACTGTCTTCTCTCTACAGGTTTCTTCAGGCTTGCGAGCTACAGTGCCCAGGGCACTTTTGAGAAATCCTTGGTTTCATTACCAGAATTAATGATAATAATAATAATAAAGATAATAAAAAGGTATATTATGGTTAACACATTTCAGCTCAGGACGCTAATTGGCCTATAATATTTTTTTAGAATGAATCAAGGAGCAAAATCTCAGCTCCGCTGGAGCCCGTCGCACCCTACCGCACGACTGCCCAAGCCATACGTTAGACGCATAAATCGAGAGATTTAACGGGATTGTTTTCGCTCCTTAATCGGCGAGCGAATACGCGACTTGCCTCAGCAAACATGTATAGGCCCTATGATATGAC